GATAGTATGTCATAATCATGAGATAGTATGTCATAATTATGAGATACTAAGTCATAATTATGAGATAGCTAAGTCATAATTATGAGATAGTATGTCATAATTATGAGATAGTATGTCATAATTATGAGATAGTATCTCATAATAATGAGATAGCTAAGTCATAATTATGACATAAGCTATCTCATAATTATGAGACAGCTAAGTCATAATTATGAGATAGCTAAGTCATAATTATGAGATAGCTAAGTCATAATTATGACATAAGCTATCTCATAATTATGAGACAGCTAAGTCATAATTATGAGATACAAGTTTTATTTATTTTTTATCAGGGTGGCGGAAATGGGCTTCCATAATGATGACTCTCAGCTACTAATATAAGATTTTTGTGAGAGTTTCATTAAAAGTTGTTGACTGGTTCAGGAAACATTTTGCTGACATTACAGACAAATGAACGCACACAACCTTTGGCAGTGAGCAGAGGTAGATTAATCTGAATCACCAATAAAAACAGTGGTCAAGTGCGTGCTCATTGTTTGTCAACAAAGATTTCCACAAAGAAAAAATAAGTCTAATTAACAGCATGCCTAATCAGCTAATACAGATAATTAAATGTGTCAGTTGTAATGTGGGTGAGTTAATAACAAGCAACTAATTCTAATTAAGAAATGCATATACAGTATGCGTGCCCTGAACTTTCAACACATAACAAAATGCTAAAAATAATTCAAAACTTATTAATGGTCAGGGTCACTTTAGCTACTGATTTAAATCTGTCATCTTATAAATCTTAATTAATAAGACTCACAATAGCTTCATAAACAAAAACAAAAGATACTGAATGTCAGCTGCATTCCAGGATCTTAATTTATTACTATTGCATTACCTCAGCTAATCTGAAGGTCTTATGTTTCTGTTTTTTTTTTTTTATAAGTCATGACATAAAATAATGTATCATATTAGGTAAGTGCTGGGCTTAATACTTCAAGCCAACGCAGTCATCACTGTTTGTTTTTTTCCCCCCAATAAACTCCTCAAACAGGCTATATGTGAAAATAAAAGCAACAATGAAAAATTCCTGCATTCACTAATAATAATAAAAAAAAATAATAGTAATAAGAATTAAAAAAATCTGGAGCAAATAATAAAAATGCAGGAATTGAGACACACTTTGCTTTGTAAATTATTTTAAAAGTTAAGTATATGACTAAGAAAAAGAAGTAGGCTAAAAAGGTGAAAAAGCTGATATTAGCTAGGTGAGCCTAATGAAGCTGTACGAATTTGTAAAAATAAATAAATAATAAATATCTCAAGCAACTTTCTGTTTTGACAAAACTTAAACCCACCAAAATCCACGTTTTAAAGATAAAAACATTGTAACAACATGCCAGATAATTTCTGTCTAAGTCTGACATAATTCAATGTAAAGACTGAAGTCGATGGACGCAACAAGGGCAAATCACGCCATTAAATTAAAAACAATCATTTAAAACAGTAAAAACATGAAATAAAACTTTCTTACCTTACGGTCTGGTTCCAATGAAGGCATCTTCCGTGTGAAAATCAGCGGGGAATAGCTCCATGAAACTGGAGAGACTTTAACATAAATTGACTGTATTTACTGTAGGGAATCCTCACAGGTGTTTCCAATTAAGTTAACTGGGAGGGAAAATGGCGGCTGCTTGAACGGTTATTATTTGTAGCCTTTTTTTTTTTTTAAAGTTACTACTCCAGCTTTTAATTTATTTTTTAGCTGACATTGTGGCTTCTCATAAATGATAAAAGTGGTAAACATAAACCTAAACATACATAAGTTATTATAAATAATGTTTACTCTTTAAACTACATATGGGATAATCAGACTAGGTCGAAATTTTGTATATTTAAAGGCAAAATGAGACAAAAAATGCCTTGAGTTATGAAAAATTAAAACGGCAAAATAAGAAACGTTAAAAAGGGAGTGGTTTTCATAAATATAAAATTTAAAAAAAAAAGCATTGACCACAGATGAGGGTATGTGTCACAAGATTACAATCAAATAAACATATTTTATATTTAAAAAAAAATCACAAGAAAAACTAAATGGGAAACAGAATCACAACAAGACAAGCTAACCACGATGTAATTTAAAAAGTGTGCAAGTAAACAAAGTTATGAAATATTTTAGGAAATTTAGTGAAATAAATCTTTACAGTGCTGCAGTTGAAATTAACAACCCTATACTGGCTTTTTAGTTTAGTTTTTTCTTCTATACTAACATGTCTAAACCACAAAGTACCAAAAATGAACCATTCTGTTAAAAACAACTAGCTTGGAATATGGTTTGTGTTGTTATATTTTGACATATTTTTCTTAAAACGAGCAGGTTTTCTTTTAAATGAAATCCAATAAATAGCTCAGTGGTTGGTGTTTTTATTTATAAAACTTCCAACATCTCCTTGACCAGTTGAAGCGACGGGCAGGGGAATGGAGACAAGAGGAGCTGTGAGAATTAAACTAAAAATAAACACTGATGGTCGCATCAGTATCTGCAATGAGAGAGCAGACTGCAACTAAACAAGCCTTAATCAGAAAAGAGTTTTTTGTCGTCTGCCCAACTAAACCTGGAGTTGTTTTTAGAAGAGAGAAAACACAGTGAAAGCTTGAAGAAGTCATTTTTAGATGCTTCGATTTAAATTTTATGTGCAAACAAACTGGTTGAGCCTGGTTATGAGTCATCTTTTATTTTGCGACAGCAGGTGGTTGCAAATACAGCACCATTTTCATCATAAASGGTATCAGTCAAATTTAATGCATATAAAAACAGCAAATGTCTCCATCTTATATCTTGTAGAAATTACATCAACACACTATTACACCATTTACCAAAATCAAATCTGCAGCACCAGCCGGGAAGCRCACTCTATGTAAATGACACCAGTAACGTTGAAATGCACCTTTAACATGTACTGATTCATTGTGTTTTTGTGCTGAACATGGATGATCTTCAATGACATAAGCAGGTGGGATGAATCAGTTTTAGGCGTTCCGTCACACATTGAAGAAGCAGCACAGATCTGCATTTAAAGTAGCTCATCAAAGCCGCTTCCTGAATTAAAAATRAAAAATAAAAAACAAATGACTCCTTCTTCAGAACAAGGAAACAAGTTTAGAAACAAGGTGACAAAGAGTGTTTTAAAAAGTGGTGCAGATGCACAACAATTTTTCKAAAGTAATTAACAAACCCCACATGCAACTTTACTCAATTATACATCTTTTTTTTGGTAGAAAACAACCTTTGATCCAAGTTCAAACACACAAATACTTAAAAGTACAAACAGCCTCACAGGCTTGAGCTGGAAACATCTAAACATCATGACATCCATTTTTAAGGCTCATCAAATTGCACCTAAAACTGTGTGTTGCTGGTGGGTAGAGAAGGCATAATCCGTTTACAAAAAACATGCTCCTGTCCCTGCAGCTGGTCCTTGGAAGAACAAGGCTGCAAGAGAGACACAAAAGGCTCAAAAGGTTTGTAATAAAAAGACAAATTCATGTCCAGAATCACACTTTTAAAAAACTAATTAAAATGTAATTCATTATGTATGATGGATCAGATATGCAAAACCTGTTCTATCCTGATTCGTGTAGGGGTCACCTCGAGTGAAGAAACAAGGTTTACAGCCTTGAAGCAGGCATTGGCATTAGTTTTATTCTTCAGTTATGCAACATGCCATCACTAGTAAATCCTGATCTTTCTGTTCTTTTTTTTAAAGGTGTATTTTCATTTTATCCACCAATCCCATTTTTCTATTGGAGGCTTTAGTGATTGTTTTCAGTACAGATGTGGGATCAGTTCTGATTTAAACCTGGTCTAAACTCAGGTTGTTGAAGGCACATGACCCCAGAGAACTTCAAGTTTATTTAAGCTTTTTATGTTATGACCAGTGTTTGAATGAGAATGCTAACTTGCCCCTTCAGACACACAGTGTAACACTAGTTTGGAAACAGTAATAGTTTTCTGGATAGTGATTTGTTTCTGTTTCGTCTTTCGGAGCCGCGCCGTCCTCACGCCACCCTCTGGAGGATGTAGAGGAGGCCGATGTTGTCGATGGTGACGAAGGTGGAAAAGTCGTCGGAAACGTGGATTTTCTTCAGAGCGCTCCCCGTAGGATAGAACGTCTGCAGGGTTTCACCTTTCATCACGTCCCACCACTGGAAATAAGACCAAGAGATAGATTTTTTTTTAACTTTTCAGCTTTTTAAACAACTTTTGACATTTTCAACAGCAGTAAAAGAATTCAAAAAGAACTTTTCAGTTTGTTGTTTCCACAAAGGTTAAACCTTTTAGATTTCATTGTTAAAGGGGCAATATTATGCGTTTCTCAGGCATACATTTAAATACTATACCATAATAAAGTCTCTATGTCACC